AATTTTTAGCATAATTATTTGGCACTTACGTATTAAGTCCACCGCAGCAGATGTTTCGATGATGCTCCAATAAAGAGCAATCTTGTTGTTCGCACGCAGTTATCTTTTGGATTACTTTTTGCTTTGTTGTTTGCTGATTTTTGACGCCATTTTTAGTGCTACGAAAATGTGTCTTTGGGATTTTCCAAACGCAGAATATGCAATTTTATTTTATCAGGAGCGAAATATTAAAAAAAAACCCGAAAATGTACCAATTCGCATGATATGAAACATTATTTAGGTAAAGACAGTGTGATTAGCAATTGGGATTAGAAAAGACAACTGGTTGGAAGGAAGCAGAATTCCATTTTGTTCAGCTTTGAGATTCATATACTGCTGGTGCGAAGGAGTTGAACGTCGATTAAATTTTTTGAAAAGCAACTTGATTTATCGGATAAAACTGTTATAGACTGGAAGAATTACATGCGTGAAATTATGTTTGGCTATGGAATAATAAAACCAACACAAGAAGACAGGTGGACCAAATTGCATTGTGGAAATTGATGAAAGTTTGTTTACTAAGAGAAAAAATAATTGTGGTCGAGTATCACCCAAACAGTGAATGTTTGGTGGTATATGTAGAGAGACGAACAAAAGATTCGTTTGTTGTCACTGTTCCTAATAGGAACTGGCTCTACCCTTCTTAATAAAATTATTGAAAACAATGCAGATGGTAAGCACAACATTTATTCTGACAGTTGGAAAGGTTACCAAACAAATACAATAGAAAAAGAAGGATTCCTACATGCTAAAGTTAATCATAAATACAATTTTATTGATCATGATACAGGAGTTCATACACATACAGTTGAGAGAATGTGGCGCAGTGCTAAATGGGGGAACAAGAGACATAAGGGGACAGCGAGACATCATTTAGAATCTTATTTAGCAGAGTTCATATGGCGACAGCATCAGGTCAAAGAAAATATAGACTGTTTTGAATCTATGTTAAACTCTATATCAGTCCATTTTCCACCGAAATCCGATTGACTACTTTGATTCTAAATAAAGTGTTATAATTTATGATTTGTAGCAAAAATTTTAGGTGTAGATAAAAACCCCCAAATCCGCAGCTGCGGTGGCGTTAATACGTAAGTACCAGTTATTTTATAGCTGGGTGAATTTTCAACATAATTTTTTTAGGCTAATTTGTGCAATTCTCATGCTGCTTCGCTCCTTCTTCTTCATCGAAAAAGACATCATTCCATGAATGTGAAACATGCAAGGGCCACAGCCCCGCATACTCGTTCGAGACGTAGTCAGCAAACAGAGGGACCTGTTTGGTGGGTATTTATATGCACGTACAGTTCTGCGATTCCGATCAATGTAACGATAGTGTCCATGCTGATGAACTGCGTGGTGTGAGAAATTTCCATTCTCACACCTCAGAAATGAAATATTATACATGATATATAAAAAATGGCTTTGTGGCAAAAATGATAATATAAGATTGATATAAAATATATAGAAATTCGAGTTTGTAATAATTTTTAAAGAATTTGTTCAGGGTAACTTGTAACTTCTTTAAGTCATTTTTCGTAAAGGCCGCCCAGGCAGCGGAGGCGTAAGAGAAGATAGGTCTTATTAATAATCTTCATCGCTCAGAGCGAGAGCATAAAGTCTGACCGAACCGGTTTTGTGACACACAGACATCTCAGCATACGAAATACTAGCAGAAGATAGGAGATATCGCTCTTTTGCTCCCCATCTCCTAATATAAGATCACGGATCAATCAGGACTAAGCAACTCTCGGAATAACACGTACGAGTACTTTGAGACAATTTCCATAATTCAATCTTCGGATGAACGTTTTCTACATTCCAGCGTATTTCTGAACATTTTGAGGGGCCAAATAATTTATTTGTCTCTAAAATTCCTCCTGTAATGGAATTTGAAAGATTATTTTCTTGCATTTCGTCTCTCTCAGCCCTGGCCACGTGAAGGCTTGGACGAATGAGAAGAAAGAAGCTCCTTGTGCACTGCAAAATTACTTCGAATTTTAGTCGTTCAACTACGTGCTACTTATGGACTCAGTAATGTTTCCAGCTTATGAACGTTATTTTTCTGAACACTTTAAGCAGTTGTATCAATGTATTCTTTAATTTCTAACATTGAAAGCAAGTGTTTTCGTAGTTTGAAAATTTTGACATCAAGGACTGCAACTGATCGGCCGAGTGGCACCGGCTTCAAATAGACGGGAATCACAAGCACATTCATTTACGATTGAAATCTGTATATAAAGTATATAATTCAACCTTTCTATTATTATTATATTTGCAACAAGTATTAACAGTTTACTTTGCAATTGTATCATTACGTCAAAGTAGTTGGCAAGCCCAAGTTTCCTGACGCTTCTCGTCACGTGACCCAAGAACTGCTTTCTGGACCTCTCCTTCCTCTTTGAGCACACTAGTCTAACAGCTAACTTCCAAAAGCAAGGGTGCTTCATTTTTCTACCCCTTCTTTTTCTCTCCCTTTTACCTCTATGGGAGAAAATCCCTCTACGACAGAAAACCACTCTACGGAATCATAACTGTCAAACCCAACATGGGATACATCAAGGAACTGGCAAGTGCAGGCTAATACATCGCCTGCTGAAAACCAGTATACAGAGGCTGTTTGCACATTTTTTAAGACGATTTTGGTAAGCGGTAATAAAAAATCGTTTGCTGCAAAAGAAGTAATTGCAACTGTACTATGTTTTTAAAAGTCAAAATTATCGTCTGTGGGTTGAAAGTTTTGTTTTTATTCAAAATGGCGAATTTAACAAAGCGTGGTTAGAAGGCTACATTTACCCTCTTTCCGAAGAGAAATATGCGTACTCCGTTATCCAAAAACGATGTAAGAGTCATGGTTTTGTGATATCTAAAGCATCGATAGGTAATATCATCAACAAGAAAGGAAACGTCAAATTGGAGCCTCAAGTGGGACAAAAATTCCAAACAAGTATCCAAGGAAAAAACAGATATCTTCGACTATTGCATAGGTACGTTGTTTAATGTTAAAAGAAAATTCCCCTAGTCAAAGGACAGTTGCAAAATCATTAAAATGCTCGGTGTCCACTGTAAACGTTGATTTAAATCTTAAGAAAGCGAAAAAACGCAATGTGCATCGTCTTCTTCCAAAACATATCGCTCAACGCAGGACACGCTGCAGAATTCTATATGAGAAACACTTATCCAAAGAAAAAAGGAAAACAATTGTCACAATAGATGAAGCATGGGTGTATTTAAATGATTGTAACAAAAAAGAGCCATTTATTATCATAAAAGGGGAGAAAAAAATTTAAGTACGTGGTCCAAAGAATCGAAGGAAAGTTTTTCTAAGGGATTCATGATTGTTGCTGGTTTTTCTTATAATGGTAAGTTAAAAATAAAGAGAGTGCAAAAAAATGTCAAGATTAACTCCAAATGACATATTTTATCGCTAATTTTTCTGAATGAAATACCATCGCTTTACCTACGGTGCCATCAATCTGTGAGACTCCATCAGGACAAAGCTAGCAGTCACACATCAAAATCCACTCTAAATTTCCTAAAAGAAATGGAACAAAACATTGGTAGGCCATACCCTTCACTGATATCCCTACTAAATCTCCCGATGTATCACCTATGGATTTTTGTGCTTTCGGACTTTTATAAACTGCATTATCCAAACGTTGTCCCAAAACCCTAACAGGACTCTGGAAAGCTGTTCGGGAGGAATGGGATAGAATATCTCTTCTGCTACTTAAAGGCATTATTATCCTGGAATTTACGGTGTCGAAAGATAAGGGATGTCAAATAGAACATTTAAAACATAAGAATTTTATGTAATTTAGTTTTGTGAATACAATATACATCATCTAAAAAATGTATGAACAGCCTCTTTAACCCCAAAGTTCCAAAATTTGCGACGCATTATTCCACCTAGCGCTGCAAAGGATCCTCGCTGCCATTTCTTTTTCACTCGCGGTTAAGCAGTGAACGTGTGTTCGAAATCTTAAAATTCCAATGTGTTCACAAAAGGATCTTATGTGCACAAAACGAAAACTTTACAGAATTTGCCAGCGAGTAACTACATAACTTTATTTTCGTGGAAATATAATGTCTTCCATTAATGACGTATTCGATCCCCTTCATCTATTGTTCACCATGGGAATGAAATGCTGCAGTAGTAATGCCGAAAAAATTCTTCATGCTTGCCGAAAATATTACAGGTGCTTTAAAGAACATATCCTTCGACGTAATTTGGCAACATATTTTTGTGTCATCATAATAAATTATTGAAAATTAACGAAGATTATTTAGTGTGCACGTGCTTAGCTTTTTGAACAGACGCGATAAAGAACGGTCAAGATGTGTTTTTGTTTCCTTTCTCTTATGAATGGTAATTTTGATAATTTTTAATATAATCAAGAATTGATAATTTTGTTCTAGTAGATACTCAGAAATAAAATTAACAAAATGTACAAAAGTATGCGCAGTGTGTGTTCATAAGTAGACTATATTGTCACTATATAAGTAAGTAAAACTGTTATAATATTATTGAAGGTTAAATTCGGTATTTTTTAACAATTGGGTTGTTTATTGCCCGTACACAACGCATATAAGCTCGTATTTCTAGGTGAAATTCATTTGCTTATTGAGCATGCTCAATAACCTTAAGTAATATATCTTGGAGGTATCTAAGTAAACGTTATGGAAAAAGTTAAGTTTAATACTAAACGTTATGGAAAAAGTTATGTTTAATGTATTAAACTTAACTTTTTCCATAACGTTTGGGCCCATCTCTACAACATATATGAAAGCAGCTGAAAAGGTAGAACACTTTTTTTAAAAAAACTAAAAAAACATTTTTAGCAAAACCAGAACAGTTTTAACTATAAATTTCAGTCACTGAATATTTATAAAAACTTACATAAACAATAATAACAATAACACCGAGGTAAAAAGTTATATTTATATCTAAGGGTTAGTACCTGCAAGAAATTTCATCTAAGGGTTAGTACTTGCAAGAAATTCCATCTAAGGTTTAGTACCTGCAAGAAATTTCAGCCGCTTATATTTTGTAATTCAAACGTACTGACAATTAAAATATTAAATTTTAGTCGGACAATTATTGCAGTTTCAATATGTTAAATTAAATGCTAAATAACTTACCTTTAACCTTAAATAGAAAGCCAAAAATTTTAGATTGCTAAAGCGCCACCAGCTGGCGACTGGAAACTAACTTTACTGACTGTAGCCTAGGTGGGAATTCTCCCACCTTATTTTAGTCACTTAGCCTGGCATACAAGCATACAGTTGTAAAGCTCCAACCTATTCATTTTGTCTCTTTCCCTCAATAGCAGACGCGCGCATAAGCAGAGTCCATACCTCTATGTCTCAAACTACCGCTATAAATGCTGCTGTATGTTCAGTGCTGGTCGCGATTCGACTTGTAGTGGCCTAGTTATTGCATGAGAAATAATTATTTTTTATCTTATATATTTGTTCATTTGTTTAATTATTTTATATAAAATTAACTTTAATATTTTGGTTATTATTCATATTTATATTTCTTTTATGCTGAATGGCAAGAGTTCAAGCTATTACTAACTACAAACGACCAGAAACCATTCATGAACTTAGAACTTTTCTTGGAATACTTAACTTTTATCGTCGTTATATAAAGGATGCATCGAAGAATCAAGCATTGTTACATGCGTATATTAAGGGAGCTAAAAAGAGGGACAAACGTAAAATCGAATGGACTGAAGAAGCTGAAAAACAGTTTGAAAAGTGCAAGAATGACCTGGTGAACACGGCACTGTTGTCTTTTCCTAATTCTGAACTACCTCTGGCGTTACTTACAGATGCTTCAGATACGGCGATTGGCTCAGTGTTGCAACCATACGAAACCTCCTCGTGGAAAGCCAATAGCATTTTTTTTCTAAAAACCTTAAATGATACTCAGCAAAAATATAGCACCTATGATAGAGAACTATTAAGCATATATCTTTCAGTTAGACACTTAAAGCATTATCTAGAAGGAAGAGTATTTACAATTTATACAGATCACAAGCCCTTAATATTCGCCTTTCGTCAAAAACTTGACAAAGCAGCAGCCTAGACAAGGCTCGCCAACCTTCAATACATCTTCCAGTTTTCCGACTGATATCAAATATGTAAAAGGTGAGAATAATATTGTGACCGATACATTATCTAGAGCTAATGAAAATTTCATCGAATAGATTATGATAAAATTAGCAGATGAACAGACTTCAAGATGTAGAACTGAAGAGTTTGCACTTCCTTGAATTTAAAACAATGTTCTCTACCTTCGGGGAAATATTTGTGGTGTGATACACCAACTAAACATATTCGACCGTATATTCCTCATGCTTTCAGAGACGGACTTGGACTATCTTGGACGGACACATTACCAACAGTACTTTTGGGTTTCAGAAAACACGTCTTTCAGCGAATTCATGGTTTATCACATCCAGGAATAAAATCGACTATGAAATTAATGACATCAAAATTCATTTGGCCTAACATAAAAAAAGATGTACAGTTGTGGACAAGAACCTGCATTCCTTGCCAAAAAGCTAAAATCAGTCGGCATACCAAAACAAAATTAGGTGAGATTGAAGTACCACCCGGAAGATTTTCAGTCATCCATATTGATCTCATTGTACCACTTCCCCCATCTAAAGGGAATATTTATTGTCTTACTTGCATAGATAGATTTTAGAGTTGGATGGAAGCAATTCCTTTAGAAAATATTTCAGCTGAGAATGTCGCAAGAGCTTTTTATAGCAACTGGATTGCGCGTTACGGAACGCTAAGTAAACTCATTAGTGATCGTGGATCCCAATTTAAAAGTGATACATTACGAGCTTTGTCCAAAATCTGTGGCATCAATTTACAACACACTACTGCCTACCATCCCTCGTGTAATGGCAAAGTTGAACGCCTTCATCGAGCATTAAAAGCCCACAACAACATACCTTGGACGGACACATTACCAACAGTACTTTTGGGTTTGCGTACTGCTATTCAAAAAGATACAAATCATTCTATTGCGCAAGTAGTTTATGGCCAGAGTCTCAGACTTCCAGGAGAGTTTTTCAGCGAACCAAGTATCCAGACATCATCGGAGACTTTTGCTAATAAACTCCAGAAACAGATGGAAGTTGTTGGACCTAGATTAATTCGCAAAAATTTATCTGAACGGATATTTGTACATAAAGACTTAAAGACTTGTTCTCGTGTGTTTCAGCGAATAGATCGGGTAAAAACGCCTCTGGAACCTCCTTATGAAGGACCATTCCTAAGGACAAATATTATACTATTAGCATAAAAGGAAAATATGTTAATGTATCCCTGTATCGCTTGAAACCAGCATATATTTTAGCTGAGGAAAATTCTCAGTTGATACAACCTAACTACAGTAACTTGCAGAGACCGGACTCAAATTCCGATGTGAATCAAAAACATTCTCGCACAGGCAGAAGTATACGTTTACCTGTTAGATTCCAGGACTGACTCTAAATTCTTCTGATAGTGGTTAACACTGCAATGCTTGTTACTACCTATTTCTCCATCTTCGTAACGTAACTTAGTTACTGGTGGAGGAGTAGTGTAGTGACCTAGTTATTGCATGAGAAATAATTATTTTTTATCTTATATATTTGTTCATTTGTTTAATTATTTTATAAAATTAACTTTAATATTTTTATATTTTTACTTTTTATATTTTGGTTATTATTCATATTTATATTTCTTTTATGCTGAATGGTAACAAGTAGTTCATATTTATATTTAAATTTCTTTATGCTGAATGGCAACTAGTTCTGATTCATGATTGCTGGGTTTTGGTTTCCAAACGTTGCTAGTAGCGTCGCATTTAGATAGCTGGAAAATAAAAAGCAATAAACTTAGCTATTTGTTTATAATTCATGCTGTTCCTAATCGTAAATTAATTTTAAATATTAATAGCCAAGGCCACAGACTCAAGATGCAAATCGATCTGGGGAGGCACTCCACATCCACTAAATAGGCAGCTGATAATGCTATTAGAGCAGAACATCAGATATCTCTTCGTGCGCTCTTATGAGATCTCGGCATAGGCTTTTGTAGCGTACAACGTATTATCCAGCAAGATAATGCGTTGCCAGACTACTGTAGGATCTGCAGCCAGTGGATGCCCTGGGTGTTAGATTCTAAAAAAATTCGAACCGATTGGCTATTTGCCTGAAGTACATGATACATTTCCATGTTCAAGGTAACATGTTTCTTGAGCGCATTGTTGCAGGCAACGAAAGCTGGTGCCACACTAGGAAACTGTGTCGAAAGCATTCATTATATAGTGGTGTCATCCTTCATCCGAAGAAGTTCAAGAGCCATTCATCTGCTGGAAAGGTGATTCTTACCCTGTTCTTTGATTTCCAGGGCCTATTGCCTATGATGTCTCTATTGCTTATGATGATGATTGAGATGTCTCCGTTACTGGAGAATGGTACTGCGAAACGTTGGGGAGATTACGAAATACAAATAAGGCGAAATGTCCTGGAAAACTGCGAAATGGAGTAATTTTAATTAATGACAGCGGACGTCACCATATCAGACATGTTATAACTCCGAGGCAACACAGATTAAAGTGGCAGACATTCGAGCATCCTCCTTACAGTCCTCATCTCTCCCCATACGATTTCCACGCCTTCGATCCCTTAAAAATGTCCCTGAAAAGTTCGTAATTCTGGTCGGACGAAGAAATGTAGAAAGAAGCTCCGGACTTCTTCAAGCAGCAGAGGAGTTTTATCTAACAGACATATTCAATCTTTTGAAGGGCGGCCGAGCGGTAAAGACGCTGAACACTGGTAGTTCGGTCCGAGGTTCGAATCCTGCGAACGGGCTGGCTGCATGGGCGTTTTCGTGGTTTTCCCCATGTGTAACGTGTATACGAGCCAGTTTCCCTTAGAAAGTCCTCCACGAAGGCATCCCTCCCTTTAGGCAGATAGCCCTCGTGTGCTTTGCCATAACTGAATAATCCAATCCAATCCAATCTTTTGAAGCTGTGAGATGATTTCCTAAATGCTCAAGGCGTTTTTGTATGAGTGACCTACCAAACCTGGAATGTACATCCTACATACGGAAACTTTTTGATCGACTCATATATTACGTAGTTCCAAAATAAGGGTTGATGCAACTCGCTACAACTAGTCCGTGACTGCTCTAATTTTTATACTCATTTTCATGTAGTCAGGTAAGTGAGAGACGTCAACTTTAATAAAATGTTAGAAATAGTACACTGTTTTTGAAATAACTTAATCAATTGCATTGTTTTACTTGGAAGAAAGTGGAAGACTTAGTCCATGCACAATATAAATATCTTATTCATTTTGTGTCCTGGAACTGCATAAACTGAAAATAACACACTTTAAGCCCAAGAAAAAGCAACCTTAGTATGCCAGAGATTTTGTATATCACTGTATCCATTACGCAGACACAGATTATTAGATACAGATTTTATCACTCTTAAAACCACTGGCATGTTTCTCTTTCAGTCGGAATGACCTTTCTTAACATCTGTAAGAGTCATTCTGATGTACAAATAAAACAATTAGTAAGTGAAACTACATTAACTGAATCTTCCTTTATGAAATAAAGTATTCCTTAATCTCTAAAATAGACAATGTCTATTGAAATTTGAAAAAAAAATTCTTGCCGACTGAAAATTTTAGATTGTAATTCAAAGCCTCAGAATACATACTAATATTTTTAAATTAGGAAATATTAAAATATATTTTTTAAATATAAATATAGACATTTAAATAAAAATAAATCTTGAAACCAATTTCACATTGAACAATATTAAACACCAGAGTATATAGCGAGGCCTAAAATCTATATTTTACAACAAAATTCTTCATTATAATTTAATATTATTTCGTATGCAGACGATAATTTGTACAAAACATTAAATTACAAGTTTCAAGTTCACTAAGTACGAGGTGTTAGCAACCTGTGTGATTAATGATGTGGACACAATCAACACCTTTTGAAACTTTTGTTGCAAAATACATAAAATCTAGTTGTTTAAATGGTTCACCTAACATCGTACTAACATTGTTTTATAATATTGAAGCTGTATAGAAAATATAGTATAAATCGTCGTTTGTATATATCGTCGATTGAAAACATTGTCTGCTTATCATGAATTACAAATTATAAACAGAAACATTTCTTCAGAATTCACATATACGAAGAGTTGATGTTTTTAAATAAATTCTAAAGTGAATGAGCAATCAATTTAACCTGAGATGTCTATCTACGTTCTGTTTTCTTATATAATATGCATAAAAGTAGGTATTTGACAGTAGATTTCTTTAGATATTCTTCCATACTTCTCCTATAACTAACGAAATTCTATATTTCCACCTAGCAGAAAATACTGAATAATTGGTATAAATCAGTTCTATGAAGTGATGAAGAGTTAACCTCTAAACGCAATACTATAAAACTATCTCTAAAACTACAGTACTATTACTAAAAGCAGTAAGTTCAAAAGACACTGTAACTCACCATTAATAAATGACGCAGTCTAGTTCGATTAAGAGCTATACCATCGGGAGCTTCGTTAATTAAAGCTGAAAATCCAGCGACGTGAAATACACAGAACTGTCAGTTTTAACATCATTTGGGAAATCATTGCTTTGACCTATTGCTTCGGATTTTCTTTTGATTATCTGAGCCTTTCTAAAATAAGCAACCAGAACTTTCGTAGGATATACACATGTATATAAAATTCTTTACTTGGCGTGTATTCCGTAACCATTGGTTACTTTCCGTTACGAAAAACCTTTAAATAAACAAAATATTCACGTTATTATAATTTTGAATACAAAAATTCAATTTTGTAAAACGTTACAAAGCCTAAATTTTCAAATGGTTTACCAACTGGTATATATATATTCAGTAATTTATTTTAATTACAGAATGATGGATTTTCAAATAATTTTCATGTATTATATAATACGCTTTGCTGACAAAACTGCAAAATAAATTTTCTGGAATGGCAGTTTTCAACAACAGTTTTAATATAGTTAGATTCCACAACTTTGCCGTTCTTTTGCTGAAATTAAAATTATCCTGCACTGAACTAGAAAAAAATTAATAGGAAACGTTCACAGTTAGTAATAATAATCTAATAAGGCAAGAGCAGGCTGAAGTCGATGAGTGATGTCTTTTTTTATTATTATTAATTATAGTACAGAATATGAAAGTGTCTACCTAAGGAGAACAATACCTCTGAATTGTATTGATTGTGATGATAATGAAGAATCATAATCATAGTTTGAATCAAGACAAGAAGCATGGATAAGATGCATGAGTCAAGATAAAAGGTAGGAAGTATGATAATCACATAATATGTGATAACCACATAATGTGGTACATGGTTTGCATCATATGTTACTACTAAATGCTATAGGTGGAGGATTATCCATTCCAATTGTACCATAACGATTATCTGTTGTCAGTGGATGTGGTCCTGTTGTAAAGTATCTGCACAGTGCCAGATTTAAATTGGAGAAAATAACTTACATCATTTTTCATGTCTTCAATCATAGTGGCGTATCAACAGCCATAGTGCAATGATGTGTTACTTTAATCTCGGCAAAAATCAACTGCGCAAGATAAGATGCACTAGAATAACGACTACCATTAAAATTACCTCATTGCTTCAGTATTCTATACAGTAGGTTCTCTATTATAAACTATATCAAAATATAAATTTACGCAAAATTCAATCTTAGGTTGGTCTTCGTTTCATAATTAAAACCTTGAAGCTTTAAACGTTCGAGGAAATCTGTAACCAGCTTGATGTTTTCATGAAGCAAAAGTTTCTTCGTCTTTTCCCCTCTTATTATTGAAACTGTTAGAGAGCAATGTTTTTACTGTTTCTTTTTGGAATTCTTCGCTAGTGTTTCGCTTTCACTATTCTCAGATATTATACAACTATTGAAGCACACTATAAATTATTAAGGAAGTAGGAATAATAGCAGTCTCTCTTGGAGCTGTGTGGTCGGTCAAAATCTAGACAATAATAAAGTGTCAACGATAGAACACCCACATATTCCTAATTGCCTTCAGATGATATCTGTACACTTCCTTGCATAAAATCTGAGATGAAAGAAAAGCAGTTCAAAAACCACTACGAGATCATTTCCACTGTCGAAGAATCATCTCAAAGTATTACCAAAGAATAAATCAAACGACTACTTCCTCTGGCTTACGAACATTTGCAAAAGTTCTTAACCGTCCAAAATCGCTATTTCATTAACTTTTATTCCATTAACAAACTCGAAAACTGCTGATTGCTTAATACAGAACTGAGCAAATTAACGCTTTGTATTGTTAATATTTATGTCCCTTAAAAACGGCATATAAAGCATTCGCTTAAAATAAATTTAATAATTTAAATATGTAAAAAAGAGTTATTTTTACTGTGATGTTCTAGCTTATTCCTTGAATGACCATAATTCTCACAGCTATCAGCCACATCCTAATTTTACGAAGGTTTTATTTTTTACGTTCGTAAAGAAATTCCTTTATTCCCTTAATTGCCTCTCTTCTTTTGTTAAAACATGACAATGCCGACAGCTTAAGTTCCAGACTCAACCTGTGAATTATCGTATTCCTGTTTAAAGGAAGGCTTTTGAGGCCATTTTGTAATCAATATGGATGTCTTCTACATCGGCTGGGTAACAAACACAATGGGGATCCGAATTTGGTGATCGATAGAAGCTAGTTCTCTACAAAGTCAAATTTTTGTATTTTATTTCTTTAATATGCCCGAGAGATTACTTTGAGTTTAAAGGAAATTAAAAGCTAAAAAGAGGATTTTGCTTGATGATCTTTTTGGGGAGGAGATATATTCTAGACTAATGATTATTACATTTTAAAAATGATGCATATCGTAAGTTTAGTAAGATTTGACTCATTACTGTATTTGGAGAAGTTTGTACCTTAGTATTAAATTTATTCTTACTGCAGTTCAAATACAAATTGCATTAGATGAAGCAATGTTTTGTAACAATTTAGAATTTTATTTCAAGAGTTTTGATTTGTGCTGTCTGCTCTCGTTTCAGTGCATTTATAGCATTAATATGCACATTTACTCACTTTAAAAAGACATAAAATGGTTATGGGGTACAGCAGATGATGCGCCGTGAATACTTTAAAATTTAGAAAATGAATTTACTTGTAATAGACCTAGTACGAAGAATCTCTTAATCTTTGTGTCTCTGAGTAGAGCTTAAAACTAGTTTTCTCGTAGATCAGTCATTATTCAGAGCTTAAGTTTTCCTGCCTTCAAGCTAGAATTCAGAATCAGATTAAAACAATTTTTAAATTCATTTGAAGCACTGGCTAACCCATAGTTTCGTTTGCAAGTGATTCTTATAGGTTATCTGCTCTAGGAGTACTAGACTTCCTAAACTGACGTAGATTTTAAATTTTCACTGTATTGAATTTTTGTAGATACAAATCTCATTTGCAAATAAATATATTTAAATACTTCATTTCCTATCATTTACCTTAGCGACGATTTACAGCAACAGTGCAGTTGCTCAAAATGCTTAAAAGGTTTAACAACGAGGGTTAGGCCACACATGATGTTTAAAAAAAGAAAGATGTTAAAATTTAATTTTGAGTGTTTTGATGGAATATCTATCAGATCTTTCCAAAAATATGGAGCCAGGAGTGCCCAAGTGGATAAGACAATTGAATACTTATAGGTCAACCCGGTTTAAAATTCCATGGGATGAGCTGGCTGCATGAGCGTTTACGAGGGGTTTTCCTTCTGTAGAGTGAATACAAGCTATTTTACCTCAGAATGTAGTCCACAAAAACATCACTTTTCTTAGGCAACGACCTTTACTATGCTTTACCACAGTCAAACCATCCTAATAAAATGCACTTAACGTTTTCCTCCGTGGAAACTAGTAAAGCGAGGAAAGTTGATTTCGATGGTTACTGTTTCGATGGGTTACTGTTGGGTACATTCACTCGCGTGCTGAATTTTCTTCGTCCCTCACAGAACGTCGGCTCAGGCAATTTGTACGTTGCATATAGGTACCCGCGCGCGGAGCGCTACCCTGGTCGAATATTGTAGCCGATTTTCGATTTTATAAATTTTCGAAACATGCGCATGGCATAACATACATGTGAGATAAGTAATATGCACGTAGATCTGTAAGTATGTCCATGAAGAACAAAATAAACGAGTGCAAACGAGACTTGACATTACGACTGTAACTGATATACCATGTCGAGCTTGTGTGAGGCAGTGCGGAGTTAAAGAAACGCCAGTGATTGCAGGAGAGTCCGAGAGCTCAAATGTGTAACACAATAGATATGATACTGATACATATAATACAAATGCAGCAGGACGACAACAGCATATAGCAAAAGGTAATTAATTACATACATGAAAACAAATGTATTGTGTATACTACGTATAACATATAAGGCAGGAGTATACACAATACATAATAGAACAATATACATGATACGATATAATGCACATAGAATAACAAGTTAGTTAAAGAGTATTTTTTTATTTAGTTTAAATGCATTGAAACCGCAAGTGGCCTTTTTCTGTTCTCCCATGTTTTGAAGTTGTAATTTAGCACAGGCATAGTAGGATTTGATACCATAGGGATGTTGTTAAAGAATCTGCGGGCCAGAGTGGCCATGTAGACATGAATATAAGCCATATTGAATTCGCGGTGGATCGCCGAGTTCCTTGTGAACCACGGACGATCCGCCGCTTGTTTTAATACAATGTTTTGCAGAACTTGCAGTTTTTTTATATTAGTTTCACTTGCATATCCCCAGACAGGGCAGGCATATGTGATTATGGAACGTAACATGATTTTGTAAATGAGTAATTTATTGTCAATAGAAAGACGCTGTTCCGAGCAATTAATGGGGAGAGTGTACGTTTACGCACTCGGAACTTGGCAATGAGCCGTGTGATGTGTGGGGTTCTATGTGATACATTGGTCAAGGATAACGCCTAGGTAACGGGCCTGCTTGGTCCAAGGGATAAGAGTTCCATACATATTCGCATGGACATTGTAATCAATATTTTTATTTTTCGCAAAGAGAATTGCATCAGATTTGTCCACATTGATCTTAATTTTCCAGGCCGAAAGCCAGGACTCCAGTGTGTGGATGTGATTCTGTAATGTTTGGATGACTGAGCCGTGAGATGCATTTTGTGATAGAATTGCCGTATCATCAGCATACATTGCTAGAGTAGTGTGTAAACATCGGTCATCCACAGAACGTCGGTCATCCTTATTCAGATCCTGCATTTGATATAACAGCGAACGTTCTTCACATTTTCATTTATTAAAATTTGTACCAACATTGCTGAAAATGACGCAGAAACGAATCCATGCAGAACTTGTTCAGATGACTGTCCCAGATTTTTAATATCAGCGTTGCCAAATCTTGCGGTTTTTCTCAAATTTGTTCCCGTTGGTAAACCTGTGATACTAAAATTTATATCTATGCAATTTTGTGAAATTTTTGGACTGTAATCATTTCCTTGTGTTACGTTTTGTTCCCTTCAAAAACTTAAGCCATAATAAAGTACACATTTGTTAATATAATGTATCTAATGAAATTAATGCATAATAAAAATAATAATTTATGTATACTTGAATAAAAATTGCTGACTGGCAATTTTGCAAGCATAAGCCATGAACAAATAAGCCTTCGGT